ACAGCAAAACAATTCCAAATCTCCGAATATCTGCTATTGTGGTGTTGTGCATGAAATTATTAGCCATCCCACTGTGACCAGGAAGAGATATATACAGTACCTGGTGAGTTTATCAAGAAGGAATAGTAAAGTAAGTGAAACAAAACAAACTGAAAGGTTTCTTAAAGTTGAACAGGAAATAATGGACAAAGAAGCTTGAAGCCTTTTGAGCCGACTAAAATTAATTGAATATTTACCATTAGAAGTTGAAGGCAGATCTGAAATTTAGTGGGTAGTGGCAAGGAGAACAACTAATGATAAACTAAATCATATACATCACATCACGTTCAGCAATGTATCCTCACTATTGAGATTTTTATACTACAAAAATTTCCGAAATTGTTAAACATAGGATACAAACTAACAGATATGCTCCCGTACACGGCACAGCCTCCCTTAAAAAAATCTATAACCGGGTCCTCCTTGTCCTATGGGTTGACTCCTATGTACTAATTGCTTCAGAATGCAATTACATGACATGGGGTGGGATACCACGTACTATACCTTGTGAGGATATGTGAAAGCAGTCAAGAGTACCACAGAGGTGGCGTCGAGCGAATCAGCGGTAGAACGGGATGAACGATCAATTATTCAATTCAGAGATTGCCGCCTCGTTCGTCAGGACACACTGTGAATCTGGAGCACAGGCAGGGGTTGCGGCCTCCAGGCGATTCGGGCCATGACGTGTTGACGATAGGGGGTTGCGTCCTTCAAGGTATACCTTATATTAGCCTCGCCGTGTATGCTTCTTCACCACCGCGGACACTGCCGTTAGTTGGTGCACGACGCAACAGTCAAGGTGATCGCCAGGGCGGCCTGGCTCCTTCGAATTCCTCTACCAGCCAGCGTCACCCTGCTCCTGAGCCTCCCCTCCATGACCGCAATGCCAGTTCATTGCCCCCAGGCGCCATGAACGGTCGCAGCGTAGGCTCGCCGGATTGGCGGTGGTGGCCTAGAACATCTAGGGCTACTCCATGCGAGGGATCTCTGCGGTTTGACGGGCGAGTCGCTAGCATGGTGAACATCTAGGGCTACTCCATACTGAATGGCAGAGCAAACAAATTGAAGCAAGCATGCCTGAACCAAACAGAGGTGGACTCCATCGATCAACCAGACAATTATCGCAATGATCGGATGGATTGACTGGAGAGATGGATGTATGGACGCAAGATGTACCTCGAGCATGCGCCAGATGGAGGGGTCGACGACTCGACGGCCTTGACGGCGCCGTTGTTCCACTCGGAGCGGCGCTCCTCGGCGTCGAGGAACTTCATGCGCACCTGCACGCCGGGTGCCCAGGCGCCGATCAGCGCGTCCTCCACCTCCTGCTTGGGCACGACGAACTCCCCGGCGCCCTGGCGCGGGTAGTAGGTGACGGTGAAGAGCGTGCCCTCTGCCGCGAGCCGCACGGCCTCGTCCACCTCCTCGGGCGGGACCCGCGCGCGCGTTGCGTGGCCGGCGCTCAGCGCCCTCGGACGCCTGCTGGGAGACGGCGGGGTACCTGGGCACGCGGCGGATCCCGGCGAGCAGCTCCCCGTCGGCGCGGCGCATGAAGACGACGGCGTCCCCGGCCATGAGCAGCTTGGCGTTGACTAAAATGGCATGATTTGGAACAAAGGCGCTGGGTGTTTCCTTACTTTGACGGTGGTTCGAGGGGATCGTGCGAGGGGATGAAAGAACTTACATTTGGTGGGAGGGGGCATCGATGGGGCACCAATGAGGTACATAGGAAAGGTAAGAATCGATGCGTTAGGAAAGTTAGGATTTTGAATTGATTTTCATGAAAATAGGGTTTTAATGTTTGTAATGTGATTTCTGTACCTGCCCGTTTGTGACGGTGTCTGGTTAGGAAAGTTTGTAAATGTTAAGAAAGTTTTTATTGGGAAAGTTTGTAAATGTTAAGAAAGTTTTTATTGGGAGGGTGAAAATAATCAACGTGAGGATATGATGATGGAAGGAGAGACCAAATTAAATTAAACAAAAATAAACCAGACGAAAATAAACCGGACGAAAATAAACCGTGGACGCAATCCTACCAACTCAGTCATTAGGAGTAGAGATACACGAGCATAAGTAGTGTATTACCTCGTCTATCGATGGCATGAACCTGGGTAAACTATACCCCTTGTTGCCATCCAATCCACTAGTCTTGTCGGATACCCTATCGAGGGATCTGTCGGAAAATACCCCGACAAAAGGTTTAAACAAACAAGGTCGTACTGAGGGATTCGGAAGTTTATACCAATCCTCATTGATCGCCGCCATTATTGCTATGTTATCATCGCTAAGATTGTCTCACAATCATTTCAACAAAATTTCCTCTCTGGACCACTTTCCTCAGTTGGATACGTCGGCGACACGAGGTTCACCTTGTCAAATGCATGAATCCCAAGACAGGTCCGAAGTCTATTTGGACTAGCACCTGAAGAAGGATTTCGGATTTTTTTTAGCATGTTAAATTGAATGTCCAAGATGACAAATTGTGTTGTTGTGAGGATTTGCCGTGTTTGCTAAAAAAATTGCCGGCCTCGCGACAGCATAATTTGTCATAAAAAACGTTTGATTTGATTTGATTTGATGTTTAGACGTTCCCGGAAGAAAAAAATCTCTATCAATCTAGCGATAGCAAATTCGAATTGAAGAAACACTCGTATCTTCTGCTGAAAACCTGGGGAAAACTGAGGAAGTCGTCCCTTTTCGTGTACCCTTCCTCTTCGCCATCTATGTCGCGGCCGCTCCCCCCGATGCTCTCCGTCCCGGAGAAGAAGACGGCCGCCGCCGAGCTCTTTCGCGACCGCCACTTCTTCAACTCCCCCGTCTTCACCGATCTCCGCGACGCCCGCGCCTCCCTCTCTGCCCCAAACCCCCAAACCCAGCCCCCCTCCTCCAGCCGCGCCCTCCTCCTCCGCTACCACCGCCTCCTCTCCTCCGCGCGCGACGACCCCTGCGCCTTCGACGAAAACCTAGCCTTCACCTGGCACGATGCCTTCAGGCCCAACCTCAAGCACACCTCCGCATCCCTCCGGTTCGAGAAGGCCGCCGTCGTGTTCAACGTCGGCGCGGCCTCCTCTAGGATCGCGGCGGCCGTGGACCGGGCGGCGGAGGGAGGGGTCAAGGAGGCGTGCGGGGAGTTCCAGCGCGCGGCAGGGGCGTTCCGTGCGGTGGGGCAGATGATGGAGGGGGAGGAGGGGACGGTGGATATGAGCCCGGAGGCCGCGGCGATGCTGGAGCAGCTCATGCTCGCGCAGGCGCAGGAGTGCTGCTTCGAGCGTGCTCTCGCGGCAGGAACGTCGCCGGCGGCGTGCTCCAAGGTGGCCAGGCGGGTGAGATGGGCTGCCCTCGCTTGCCGTGTGCTTCTTTCCTAGTGGCATTGCATCCATACGATCTGTGATTGTTCTAGGTTCCACTTAGCTTCCCCTCGGTTTTAGTTCAAGAAATGCCTGCCCTTGCTTTCCGTGTGCTTCTTTCCTAGTGGCATTGCATCCATACGATCTGTGATTGTTCTAGGTTCCACTTAGCTTCCCCTCGGTTGTAGTTCAACAATTGCCTGCCCTTGCCTGCCGTGTGCTTCTTTCCTAGTGGCATTGCATCCATAGGACATGTGATTGTTCTAGGTTCCACTTAGCTTCCCCTCGGTTTTAGTTCATTAAACTAAAACCACGACAAGTATTTTGGAATGGAGGGAATATATCGTAAACCGCAATGTCTTTACCTTACAAGCTACAACAGAAAGCCAAAAAAAGCGACCGATAAGCTAAGATTCCAAGAGCGCACATGATAAACTCCACGATCTTTGGGCATCCACAAGACGGATCCTCAAAACATCACAGGATAAGCACCCAGGAAATCTCAAGCAGCAGTTCAGACGCTACCTCTCAATCAACCTAGCTGGAACCAACAGGACACAAAACTAGACTACTAACAGCTGAGAAGCAGAAGTCCTAACGAGAATAAGATCACTTCTGGATCCTGTTCAGTCCAATCATCCATCCATGAACCGCATGAAACACCTCATTTTCTATTAGTTCGAATATTCGTGCCCCCGATTTCGGCATTTCTTGATCTCCCTGTTTTTTTCTGCAGAATAATCCAATCATTAAAAGATCTTGCAATCATATTAACAGGAATGTGAGGATCAGCGATTTTAAGATTGTCAAACACCACACTATTTCTCAATTTCCAAACTGACCAGAAAATAGCAGACACCCCTGCCATCATCAGACATTTTTCATTAGAAGGTGCAAAGTAGAGGTTGTGAGGCTAATCCAAGGTTTACGCCAATTGCAGTATCCAGCTCTCCCTAGCCATACTTTATCTCCCACATCCCACACACGCAAGATTTTGATTCTGTTCAATGCTTTCACTAACTGATTATTATAATTTTCTCTAGCACCTTATGAATCCGGTGTACTCTATGTTATCATTGCCATGCTGATATAGTTTAAGTTTCAGATTAATTCGGTGTACTACGCTTTGAGATCATTTTTTGTCGGATACCAATTAATTTTCAAGAATATGCATCTTCTGATAGAGAATACTAGGAAACATAAAAAAAAAGTCCGAAGAAAGTTGAGAAAGAGCTTCACAGGGACCCCAAAACCAGAACAACCATCATGAAATGTTACCTTGCATGTCTCAGGTCATAACTTGCCTTATCATCTCATCCTCCATCTTACTCCCTCCGTCCCATAATATAAGAGCGTTTTTGACACTTACTGTCAAAAATGCTCTTATATTATGGGACGGAGGGAGTAGTTATTAAAGCTAAATAAGCAAAATTATAATTTATACAAACCAATCAATCTTGTTATAATTTCTAGTACTAGATTGGTGAAGCGCCATGTATTTTCTGTGCAATCTAGAGGTGGTTTTTTAGTTGAAGTTAAGATCATATTAGACCTAAATTCTGCCAGTTTATAACTGTTTCTGGCTGCCACCGATCCGCCATACCCGTGCTGCTCATGTCCGGTTTGCTAGGATACTGCAACATATTCTACCGTTATGGCTTGATGAGGATCACAGGTTATAGGTATTGTGGGGGGAGGGCGAGGTTGATAACCTGTTGGCAAACTGATGCTGCGGTAGCACCTTTCCTGCTGGTAGGTCTAGCCCCACATAACATTTGCAAACTGAATTGTGAGTTCCAAAGTAGGCTTAAGCACCTCATTGTCTAGTTTTTCTGGGGCCTGGTCCAATTTTTCGTCTTGCTGTATAGTTTTGTGTCATGTCGTCGCCGCCTTCTAATATAAAATGTCATGCATATTCAGTTGCAAACTGAATTTTGAGTTCCAAAGTAGGCTTAAACACCTCCTTGTCTAGTTTTTTGGGGTCTGGTCCAATTTTTCTGGGGCTCCGTCCAATTTTTCTGGGGCCTTCTTCTACTATAAAATGACATGCATATGGATGTGTGTTTGAGAGAGTTCCAGAATAGGCTGCACTGACAATATTTTGCTCTCTTAGTTAAGATTACGTACCTTAGTTTAAGATTGGTGTGATTATATGCTTGTCTGATATTTTTGCCATGATATCACGCCAGCATTCCATGTGAAAAGTCCTGGAGGATGTTCCTTGCATTAGCAAAACCTGAACTGAAAGAGAATCTTTGTCATATGCTATAAAAGTATCAGGGTCAGTAGGTTAGTAAGATTAGGGATTTAAAGTAAGGTTCTGTTGCTGAAGTGGCAAAGATGGTAGACCTTATATTTTGCATCTCTGAACATTTTAAATATAATTATGTTCAAATGCATAGAAAAAAAATGACATCAGAAAAATATTTGCCTCTGGCCTTTTGCAGGCTGCCTTGTACTACGAAGAAGCGTATGCTGCACTGGTTATCCCTCCATTGCAGAACCACTTTGAAAGATCATGGTTGTCTCACGTCCAGTTGAAGGCTGCTCAATTCAATGCAGAAGCTTGCTATCGGTATGCTATTGAATTGCATGACAAGATGGAAATTGGCGAGGAGATAGCTCGATTGCAGTTTGGGATTAATGCAGTTGTTGATGCCAAGAGAACTGCCAGGGGAGCCCCCGCTTCCCTTTATGATTCTGTTTCCAGGCTAGAACAAGATATGAACCAGAACTTGGAGAAGGCAGTGAATGAGAACAACCGCATCTATCTTATGAGAGTTCCAGCAGCCAAGTTGTTATCTCCCTTGCCATCAGCTTCACTTGTCCGGTCTGCTTCCAAGAGTGAGGTCTTGGATGCAAAAGCAGAAACTGGCCTTCAGTCCTCATAACTGAATGCTTTGACATCGTGAAATGAAGCAATGGCACGCATCCTGTGCCGCTGTTGCATGCTAAAGACTGTCTGCTGCAGCAGAGATTATCGAAAATGTCTTGTATAGTCGTCGTGTATCTAGTGTGTAGCTACAATGTGTGTTGGCATGCCAAGCTAGGACCATTCTAGTTGAACCTTGAGAAATGCTTGGTAGGCTGTTGCTGCTGGAATCTCAGGTTTCTGTGATGCTCCTTTTGTGCCGTAATGAAAAGTTCATCTGCCGTCAGCCATTTCAGTAAGCGCACACTTTTCATGTTTTAGCACAAGCTTACGTAAATTCTTTGCACTTTGTGTACAAAATGACTTCTCCTTTCGGTGCTGTTTGTTTCGGCGTAGAATTGCAAAACCGTTTCTTGATCTAATCTTATAGTATCCAATGTGTTTCGTTGCTGTGGATAATTAAGTTCAGGATGTGTGAACACCAACATGACAGGACAATTTCTTAGCAGACCTGATTTGTAGGAACAATTATACGAACCATTTGGAGCTTACTGAATTTCTAGATATTAGAAATGGCTCCTGGGAGCAACTTTTTTTTAGAAATGCTAAAAAAGGGTTTTTGTACATGTATTTATTCTTGTCCTTTCATTAAGTTGTACTAAAGACAATTAACATGGATCGGAGGGAGTAGAAAAACACCAGTATTGTGGCCTGTGCTAAGAAAACAAGTTTATAGTGCTTAAAAATGATTTTACAGCACTGGATTTTGTTTTTTCCCGATCAAAACATATGACATTTCTTTGTTACATTTTATAATCAGTCAGAAGACATGAACATGTATGTTGTCAAACAAATTCATTTTTTTCTACTTTTAAATATGCCTTTTACTGTTTGATGACTGCGGAGCCAAGGCGTCAGCCCCACGAATTTCACAATTCTTTGCTTATGAATTTCACGGTCTGTTGAGTATTTCGTCATCATTTGCACCGTTTTCTGAGGTTGATAACAGCCCTCGGAAGCTTACGATAACAGAGCTAGTACAAAATTCTGGACGTTTCCGAAGCCGGATGCAACAAAAACCGAAAGCGCCAGAAATATTACAGTACGCAACCCTCGCCTCGCACAATCCTCACTCGTCTATCCGTTCCTCCACCTCTCGTTGCTCGGGCTCCCTATCCTGCACTCCTCTCCCGCGCGCCCACCACCTGTTCGACCCGACGCCCCGCCCCTCCACACGCGCCCCACATTCCAGTCGCTCGCCGCCAATGGCAACGACCGCCGCGGTCATGGCACCCCCCTCCACCTCCGCCTCCTCGGTCCTCCTCCTTCGCCGCCTCCCTTCCCCGACCTCCGCGGCCCCCGGCTGCTGCCGCCTCGGCCCGCCGCCCCGCCTCCGCACGGCCCGCCCGCGGGTCTCCCTCACCAGCGACGTCTCCTCCTCGTCCGACGTGGCCGAGGAGGAGGCCGAGCACGCGCCCAAGGTCGGCAGGCGCGTGCGCGTCACGGCGCCCCTCCGCGTCTACCACGTCGTCAAGGCGCCCGACCTGGACATCCAGGGCATGGAGGGCGTCATCAAGCAGTACGTCGGCGTCTGGAAGGGCAAGCGCATCACCGCCAACTTCCCCTTCAAGGTCGAGTTCCAGCTCACCGTCGACACGCAGCCCAAGCCGGTCAAGCTCTTTGTCCACCTACGCGAGGACGAGTTCGAGTACATCGGCGACGAATGAGACCACTGTACCTACCTCTCTGTAACAACTGTACATGGCCAAGTAAGCCGACCGCCTTCCTCATATACAATAATAATGGCCGCAGCGTAGGCGTGTGTATATTGTTCCGGTGGATGTGTGTGTGAGTGGTGAGAGGGATGAAGGCTGAAGAGGGTTGGAATTAGGAACGCATGACCAGGAAGTTGATTGCTTGCTTGCTGTCGTTCCCTTGTTCCTCCTCTAATTCAACATCTATTCAACCTCCTGCTTTCAAAGTTCTTTACCTAGGGATCCTACTGATATTATCGTCTCTTTATGTTATATGTTGGATTCCTGGGGTGTGCTACAGAAAAGAGGGGTGGAAAAAACTCTTAAGGAAGTGACCAAGAGGTTGGCCCAGATAGCGAGGGACGTCTTCAAGCGTGCTTACGGATGGGGCCCAGCTGTACGGAGGCTCTGTTGATCAAGTGTTGACAGATGCAGCATTTACGATTATCTCTCTTGTTCTTTTGATATAGCACCTTGTAGGTGCAGATTTTGGTATCTCAGATGTAGGAGTTTATTTCCCCTGATGCAAAATATTAGGCAACATTTGTAGCGATGATGCTTTGGAGCGTTCTTCTGTTGTAGCATCCTGTAGGTGCGGTTGAAGTGCCTCTAGATGTATGAGTAGTGTTTCCTGATGCAGATGTTAGGCATCGAAAAATGTTAAATTTGTATGGAACTTGCTTTGTATGTTGTGACTCCATTTTCGTAATGAAAATGGGGGCCATGGGGCCCCTCTGATCGAAAAAAAAAAAAAAATAACACCGATAATTTTGCTCTTCCTTGCAGCCAATGCTTGATAATTTTGTTCCAAGAGCTTATCTTAATCTGACTGGTATAATCACATTGTTGCTTCTAGGAATATGTATCCTTTATATATTGAATCTAGGCTATTTTTATAATTTATATAAGATATTTTCTGTTATGAGGGAATTCGATTAGGCAATAAGTATCTTGTTTTTGGACAATACGACAAGTGTTTGGAGTGTAATGCTATATATACATCAATGTATATATTTTGGTCTTACTGTAACCCTGTGAACTTGAACTTGGATGGCTAAAGTTCGTCTGAATTTGGATACAAGAACATTCATGAAATAACTTCTCTAAACCCAACTTGTTGCTTGTAGAGTGAACAAACAGCTAAGGCTCTAAGGTAGGTTCCTGGCTGACCATAGGTAATCCTAAAATTTAGTTGCTTCCTTTCATCATCAATCTACGGTACTATATACTTTCAGTGGAATGTTCCGAGTAACCTCATAGAGTTCTTTATACCAGCTCATACTTCCACATTGAATAACAATGTAAAACAGCACATTGGACAGATTTATATCATATTCTTCTAAGAGAAATATATGCAGCCATACTGTACCTAGTTAATAAACTTACCCCTGAGCCTGGCTTATTATATAGAGAAGGCAATGCGAAGGTACCGTGCAGAGGCTAGGCCTTGGATGCGGGTAGGCAGAGTGCGCAATTACAGTAGAAGCCAACAGGGCAACGCTTGGTACTCTAACTAGCCCTGTTATACCAAGTACTCCCTCTGTAAACTAATATAAGAGCGTTTAGATCACTACTTTAGTATTCTAAACGTTCTTATATTAGTTTACGGAGGGAGTAGTACGTATTTCTTAAGCAATCAGTTCTCAGCATCCATGCTCCTGGTTATGAAAAAAGAGCACGTTCTAGGATTTGCTAGCTAACTTAGTCACATCAGATATGTCATTATGATTTAAAATTTCTGTCATTAAAGTTGGAATAGTCTACAAGAGTACATGTGAACTGTTATTTTTCAGTATATAGTATGTATGGACCATTTCTTGTGTTGTTGTTGATTGCGAAATCTATTTCTACACATTGATATTTTAGGGTTAGCAATACCCAGTACACAAACTATATTGCACCAAAAGGGCAAATCTGAATTTAGCCAAGACAATATGATGAAGGTTTTTGGAAGTTGCCAATTTATCTGCAACAAAACTACTTTTGTTCGTTTATAGAGTTATGCCATTCATTAAAACCCAAAAACATGGTCGGAGCAGAGGATTGGACCTTGTGAAACTCTCTAGGTAAGATTTCAATGTTGAGCGTGCAGATGTTTTTTTTTTTGAAACTAGGCAAAAGATTTGCCATTTTCATTAATTAAGAAGAGAGTATTGTTACAGAAACGCCGTTAAACGGCAAAAGCCTAAACGAATTACTCTCGCGACATTACATTGCTCAAATTCTTGGCACCGGCAATAGCCCAAATAGACATTTCTTCTTTGATGATCCGTGTGACGATCGCCACCGGCGCCGCCTTGCTGCTGAAGACGCGTGCATTCCGTTCCTTCCAAAGTTCCCACCCCACAAGAAGTAGCAGAGAAGATAAGGCCTTAACCGGTTGGGTGTTGTTTGAGAGTAGCTCATCCCACCAAGATTTAACTGTGCCGAATTGGTGCCAAGTAGCCGTGGGAATAGCAAGCCCGAGCCAGGAGAACACCTCATCCCAAACCCGGAGAGAGAACCTGCACTTGAAAAGAAGGTGGGTTGCTGATTCTTGCACCTGATTGCAAAGCGGGCACCGGTCACAGTTTGGCCATCCTCGGCGTTGCAGCCTATCCGCGGTCCAAATTCTGTTTTGATTGACTAACCAGGCGAAGAATTTACATTTAGGAGGAGCCCAAGCCTTCCAAACCGAGACCTGAAAGCTAGAGTGGGTGAGACCAGCGAACTGCGCCAAATATGCAGACTTAGCGGAGTAGTTGCCATCATTGGCGAGCTTCCACAAAATGCTATCTTTGACGCTCGGTTGGATGACAACACCCGCAAGCTTTTCCCACAGGGCCGAGAATTGCTGAAGATGCTCCAGCGTGAGGCCGCTTTGGGTGTCAATTTGAGCTATCCAATGATGATCCCTCAAGGCCTGGGCAACCGTTCCGCCTTTCTTGTGAGAAATCTCAAAGATCTTTGGTGCAATGTCCTTGGGTCTTATACCCTCTAGCCAAGACGACTCCCAGAAAATCGCTTTATTCCCATCACCAATCGTCACCTTGGTCGCAGCCGCAAAAAGATCATGGTTTGCAGCTGTGCAAGGCGTCTCCTGACCACACCATGCCCTTGAGGGTTCATCACAGTCTAGCCAAAGCCACCGAAGCCGGAGGGCAGTGGCAAACTTGCCGAGATTGAGAATGCCAAGACCTCAATTAACCTTGCATTTGCCACCAGTAACCTTGCAAACTTGCTCCCAATTAACCTTGCATTTGCCATCAGTAACCTTGTCCGTTCCGGCCCAAAGGTAGGCACGTCGCAGCTTGTCAATTGCCTTTAGGACCTCCACCGGAAGGTCCAGCGGAGTGATGTGATAGATGGCCACCGCCGTGAGAACCGCCTTGACCAAGGTCATGTGACCCGAGATAGCAACATGCTTGCCTTTCCAAGGCACCAATTTGCCAGACGCCTTGTCCTCTAGCAGTTGTAAGTGAATCCTCTTAAGTCTCTTGATCGCGAGAGGGAGACCAAGGTAGCAGATAGGGAAGAAGGAACGACAGGCCGGGAAGGACTGAAGAATATCATCGAGGTCCACATTGGCACATCTGATGGGCGCAACAATACTTTTGGCGCACTTAGTGGACAAGCCCGTGGACTCACCAAAGGAAGCTAGCATGGTGGACAGGAATTGGACATCCTCCTTATAAGGGGCACAGAAAACAGCAGCGTCATCGGCATACAGGGAGGCACGAATCCCGCGTGCCTCCCAGGAAGGGGGTGAAGCTTCCCATGTGCAGTGGCTTTGTTGAGGATATGGTGAAGCGGGTCGATCGCGAGGACGAAGAGCAAAGGGGAAAACGGGTCACCCTGTCTAAGGCCACAACCATGCTTGATGGGGTCGCCAGCAATTCCGTTTAGTAAGACTCTCGAGGATGCCGAGGAGAGGAGAGCCGAAACCTAGTCTCGGAAGCGGGTAGGGAAACCATGGTGGCTCAACATCTCTAGCAAGTAGTCCCACCTAACAGAGTCGAATGCCTTCCTAATGTCAAGCTTGAATAGGAGCATGGGTTTTTTTGTGCGGTGAAATCTTCTCGCCGAATTCCGCACATACATAAAGTTGTCATGTATACTTCTCTTTTTTATGAAAGCACTCTGGGCAATGGAGACGATGTCGTTCATGTGGGGAGCAAGCCTAGTGGCAAGAATCTTTGCAATGAGCTTGGCCACCGCATGGATTAGGCTAATTGGTCGGAAGGCAGAAATCTCCTCCGCTCCATCCTTCTTGGGAACGAGAGTAATGTTCGCCGAGTTGAGCCAGTGGAAATTTCTAGTTTGAAGATTGGAGAAGCTATTGATCACGAGCAAGATGTCATCTTTAATAATCTCCCAACAACTTTTGAAGAATTATCCTGTAAAACCATCCGGGCCAGGTGCTTTGTCACTAGGGAGAGCAAAGATTGCAGCCTTCACTTCCTCTTCAGTAATTGCATCTCCAAGCATGGATAGATCATGGTCAGTACGGGGAATGGCTGCCCAGTTGATGGTCTTTGGGCGTGGGGCACCCCTCTTCATGATCTCAGAGAAATGCGAGTGGACAATATTCTTCTTGTGGTCATGATCCGTCACCCAGCCATTGCCCTGTTTGAGTCGGTGAATTAGATTTTTCCGTCTCCGACCATTAATCCTAAGGTGGAAATACCAGGTATTCGCATCACCCTCTTTGATGTTGGTGATCCGAGAGCTTTGCCTCTTCCTAGCTCTCTCTAGCACTGCAAGCCCCACCACTCTCCTCTTAAGTCTTTTCCGAAGATCCGCCTCCTCGGGACTAAGAATCCGCACATCTTGGGCCTCATCAAGGCGAAGGATGATCTCCAAGGCCATATGCAGTTGGACCTTGGCATTGGAGAAGAGGGTTCTGCTCCAAACTCGCAGTTTCTGACTGGTCTTCTTCAACTTCTGGAATAACCTTAGTAAAGGATCGTGGTGCTGGGAGGGCTCGTTCCACGCCTCTAGGATGACTTGCTGGAAGCCTGGCATGTTGGTCCAGAAGTTCTCAAAGCGTGCAGATGTTTTGCCTTTCCAATACCATCTTGGATCGTGGATGACCGATGAATGTGCTGAAATCTGGCATTTGAAATTTGCTCATGAGGTTTTCATAATATTCAAGAAAAATCACTGTACTCTACAAGAAAAATCACTAGAGTAGTCTAAATATAAGTCTTTATAGGGATTCCACTAGGTGGACTACATACGGAGCAAAATGAATGAATCTGCACTTAAAATGCATCTATATATATCGGTATAAGTCTTTGTAGAGATTCCACTATGAACCACATATGGATGTATATAGATGCATTTTAAGTGTATATTCATTTATTTTGTTCCGTATGTAGTCCATCTAGTGGAATCACTACAAAGACTTATATTTAGGAACGGAGGGAGTATTTAGGAACGGAGGGAGTATATAAACTAGTACATCGATTCTGGGCTTGTGAACTTTAGGTTTCCTTTATTTGAAGCCCCCTGAGGTCTTGTTGGCGCAGTAGTCAGTCACTTAATCTACTCCCTCCGTCTCAAAATTGTTGTCTTAGATTTGTATACATACGGATGTATCTATTTACGTTTTAGTGCTAGATACATCCGTATCTAGATAAATCTAAGACAAGAATTTTGGGACGGATGAAGTATGTTTTTGTTCATGTTTCCAGTGATATGCTTTTGTTTCAAGCATTACCTCGGTCCCCAATTACTTGTCTTAGATTTGTCTAGATACGAATGTATGTAAACACTAAAACGTGTCTAGATACACCCGTAATTTGGGAGTATATAAATCTAAGACAAGAATTTTGGGACGGATGAAGTATGTTTTTGTTCATGTTTCCAGTGATATGCTTTTGTTTCAAGCATTACCTCGGTCCCCAATTACTTGTCTTAGATTTGTCTAGATACGAATGTATGTAAACACTAAAACGTGTCTAGATACACCCGTAATTTGGGAGTATGATACATACAGCAGCAGTGCTCCTCAAGTCTCAGCATTGTTGTTTACAGAGGGCTCGAATGGCGAATTCAAATGAAGGGGCCACCTATATTAAAACACATACAGTACCGTCCTAGACGCATCCTGCATGTGGTTCATCCAGTATTCAAGTTCAACTCGACCAAACTACGGTACCGATGATGATGCCTTTGATGAGGTTTGCTGCCAGGGGCCCTGGCCTGTCATTGTGCGTGAGGCCTCCTGACTCTGGTTTAATCTGTCATGAGAACATGTGACCACTCAAATCTACTGCGTTTCATTGTTCCGCTGACACGTCTTCCATTCGCTTCCGTTGTGTTGCTGTTATGTTTTGAGGCTCAGTTGCTTTCAAAAAAAGGAGAAAGGGACAGGGCAAAAAAACGGTCAATTTGAGCTTCCAGCTTTTGATCTCTTGTTTGTTTACCTTGCCATGGCCCTAATCCAGATTTGTTACCGTGCATTCCCCCCTCCCTCTCCGCCTTCCCAGTTCTGCTGACCCATACTGGGAAGAACCGGCAAGCCAGCAATCCATTCGAACGTACTCCCTCCGTTCGGAATTACTTGTCTCGAAAATAGATGTATCTAGAATACTCGGAAAGGGAGTACCACTCACTGCGGGTGGTCCCGTCCTGTTGCAAATGCCAACCATGATTGCCACCTGGGGCATCAGCCCCACGACCTGGGCTGATGCTTCTTGCACGGCCAACACACGAGACGAGAGTTAAAGAAGATGACCTGATGATCAATGACCTGATGATGTACTGGTAGTATACTACGTACGAGGGCTCACGTGCCCACCATTTGTCACACCCGTCACGTGATTAGGTGACACGATCTGACCCCCACCCTGGCTCTGATCGCGCAATTAATTAACGCTCCGATCCGATTTGATCCGATCAAAAGTGGAAGCATTGAGCGAGGAGAGGTCGATGGCATGCATGCACACGGGCTCCTCTCCAACGGTCGGCTCGGCTGCTCCTGCCGTTGGTTCGTTCGTTGGAAAGAAAACTAATTTTACTGGGCGCAACGGTCGGATCCTTCTGGGCGGATGACGGCGCCAAAAGGGATCCATCTTTCCACGAGCGTGTGTGCATCTGCGCCCCCCTCGCTCGTAGCGTTTGAATCCCGGCGGATACGGGTTCGAGATGATGAGCCAATCGGAGCCAGGCCCCACCTAAGCAAAGCTTCCAACTCCAACGGGCACCACCGCGAGAGAGGATTTCAAATCTCACCTCAAGCTGTGACCGTCCGTCATCGTCACCACCGAGTACTAACACGAAGCACCACGCACACCGATCACGTACTTAATCCCCCCTCACACAGTCACACTCCCCCCGAAGCTCTGCATAAATACCAGCTCCACGCCTTCCAACCCCAGACTTTCCATTCCTTGCATCCGGAGCTCGCCAACAATCCGTAGTTCCGACGAGTCACCACCATGGGGCTCTGTTTCAGCAAGAAGCAGCAGGACAAGCCACCGCCGCCGCAGCCGCAGCCGAGCGCCCCTGCGGCCACCACCAAGCCCAAGAAGCCTGCCAAGGTCGCCGCAGCCGCGGTGGTCGCCGGCGATGAGAAGGCCAAGAAGGCGCCGCAGCCGAGGAGGGCGTCCAACGCGGACGAGTCTGCCGCGGCCGGCAAGAAGGCGGCGCCGATCGTCGTGAAGGCCAACAAGGCGGCCGCGGGCGGGGAGGAGGAGAAGAAGGTGGAGCAGGCGAGGCCGGTGGTGGTGGTGGCCAAGGGGCCGATGCCGGTGCGCACGTCCAGCTGCACCAAGGAGGAGGTGGACGCCATCCTCATCCAGTGCGGCCGCCTCAGCCGGAGCTCGTCCGGGAGCGAGACGAGGGGCGGGCACCGCTCCAAGAGGAGCTCCGACTTTGATCCGTCCGGGGCCGGAGGCGCGGACGAGGAGGGCGACTGGGAGAGGAACGGGGTCCCCGTGTCCAGGCCGTCGCCCCACCGGGGCTCGCCGCAGAGGAAGCGCTCGGGGAGCCGGGAGAGGACCGGCGGAGGGAGCCGCAGGTCCAGCCGATCGCCCGGACGGCGTGGGGAGGGCGGCGCGCCCTCTGCGACCTCGGCGGGCTCCGGCGCTGCCAGACAGCAGCCGGGAAAGATGGTCTCCGTTCCGGCGAGGGAGAAGGGCCGCGCACCGTCGCCCGCGGCCGCGTCCGGGAAGAGGTGCGCGTCTCCGCGATCGAGCTCGCCTGCGAGGGTGGCCGCGGCCAATGAGAATGCTGGAGGGGGACAGAAGACGGCGGGGCAAACGCCGGCGCTGAGCCGGAGCTCGTCAAGGAAGGCCGAGCAGTCGCCGCTCCGGCGCAGCCCCATGGCCGAGATCGACGAGAATTCCCTCCGCAATAACAACAGCAGCACCAATACCAAGACCCAGAAGGTAAGAAACAAGCAAAGTTCGAATTTTAACGCCATTTCTTTTGTAACTCCACGACTTAACATTCGATCAGCCGCTCACAATCTTCAAACTGATTCAGAAATCGACTGAGATTACTGTCGCCACCCCGACCCGGAAGACCACGGAGCGCGCAAAGGAGCAGAGTTCTCAGAAAGAGAAGGCGGAGGAGACCATGGTTGCGGTGTCAGAGACTAGAGCGCCTTCGTCCAAGACCACCGAGACGCGCACGGTGAGCATCGTGGCCGAGACCCCAGGCCGGAGGTCAGGCCGCCGTTCGCGCCGGGCGTCATGCGACTTCGACCAGAACCCCGGCTTGTACGCCAGCCATCTCCTCGAGGACATCCAGAACTACCACACCTCCGCTACGGCCACCCCCGGAACGCCGCCATCCTTCACGCTACCGGCCTGCGTCTCCAAGGCGCAGTCCATCGTCGACGCCGTCGCCGACCTCAACTCCTCATCGTCAGAGAGCCGCACCTGCGAGCCCGATCGGAGCGTCGACGACAAGGCCTCTGTCAACGCGGCGGCCGGCGGGGATGACCTTGACGCGCCGAGCGTGCACAGGTACGTGTCGGTGCGGGACATCCGTGGCCGCGGGGAGATGGAGCTGCAGGAGTCCGCGGGGAGCAACAGCCTCTCCGGCAACCTGTGGACGCCGTCGTGCGAGTCCACGGACCGGACGTGGAGCGGCTCGCGGTCGTCGAACAACGGCGACGAGGTCGTCGAGCAGGTCCCTAGCCACCACAGTGGCGCGCGCAGCCCGGTGAACCGGCCCAGGCAGAGCAAGCAGAGGGCGGCTGCGCAGCTGGAGCCAAGCGGCCGGTCGCGCGCCGGCAACTCCGGCGTCAATGCTCACCGTGGACGCAGCGCTCACCGCGGCAGCGGCAGCGTGGCGAGCGGCCGATCGGGCGTCCGTGGCGTCTCGGCGAGCACGTAGTGAGGGAGATTAGGCAAGATGTGTGAGATGGCAGTGTTGCTAGCGGCAAGACGGATTGCCGCTTTCACGGTCAGATCTCAAGTGTTTGTTTTTGTGTTGCGATGCATTCTTCAGATGTAGTCTTGCTAACGTTATCAATTTAGACCATGCTATCATTATCTGGGAGCAAACCTGTATCCTCTATTCAGGCCTGTTGATCTGATGATCAGTTCTGGGCTCTGGATTACTGAGCCATATGGATCAGAGAAGAGCTTTTCTCGAGTTTCTGATGCCTTGCTTCCCATTATGCAGAAACATTTTTGTCTGGTCTCTCACTATGCAGAAATGATTGGCATATACGTGTACCAGCAGAAACATTTTTGTCTTAAAAAAAGATCGTCATTTTTACAGATTATGTGCAAGGTTAACGGTAAAACAGAAGCTGTCATGGTCACACGAGCTTTGGTGATTTGGGCATTTAACATTAAAAAAAAAGACTGTATACGTTGTTTTTAAAGGCTCCCATGGAGAAATGAACACCAAGAATTCATAGCTCAGTTGGTTAGAGCACCCGAGTTCAACTCTCACACGGAGCAATGCTATTCTTACGTACAAAAAGTTTTACACACAAGTTCATTTTGTGGCAGTTAGCTAAAATCAGTGAAGCGGTTCCCATCTGTAACTTGTACAAAATGCTATTCTTGAATTCACAAGAGGAGCTTTTGGGGTCGATATGTGCTGGTGCAATCGAATAAAAAATGACATAATAATTATATCTTATAAGTAACCATGGAAAATTCGTCAGCCGGCTTTCATAGCTCAGTTGGTTAGAGCACCCGTTTAGTAAGCGGGAGGTCTTGAGTTCAACTCTCAATGAAAGCAATTATTTTTGTAATTCTACAGAGCTTTGTTCAGACTGATATAGCATTAAAACCTGCTCGTTTTCTCTTTTTGATTGTTCGGAAGGCACAAGCCCCAAAAATCGGTGGATCAGTCTGCATGCAGCTAAATTCTGAATTGGTCTAGAGAAAAAGAGAAAAGGAAGAAGACGAAGAAAAATGGGGACTTAGCAGGTTGGTACGCACTTCTTGCAGACCATGACGCACTTGGTGGCCGGCGGGACGCGGGCGAGGCGTGACCGCGCCGTGTAGCACCTCTTGCCGCAGACCACCATCCTCCGCCGGCACGTCGCCGCGGGGACGCACTTCGCCGGCGCGCCTTTCCTGAGCCCTCGCCCCTGTCTGGCCCTGATGATGACCAGCTTTGTCTCGTTGGCCGCGGCCAGCCGCCAGCCGCCCTCCGCTTCCCGCTGGTGCAGGAGGACGTCCACCGACGGCTCACGGCCGAGAGCGGCGACGGCGAGCGAAACCACGATCAACATCAAGCAAGCCGTCTTCATCGTCAACTACGTGGAGATTACGAGTTCCCTCTGTGTGTGCATGTTGGAGTTTTAAGAGAGAGCAAGGAGGCACTGTCAGTGTGCAAGTGTGCATGAGCTACCTACCTAATCTGTTCCAGGGGGACATCTGTTGCAGGGGCGAAATTGGGTGTGGATCCAGTTCGAATCGGTTATGATTGAAAAAAAAATTATGTACGCTTTTCTAGAATGTTTAGATCACTATATTAGTTATCTATAAATGCTCTTATATTTCTTTATGAAGGGAGTACTAAAATATTATGATTAAAAAAAATACTAGTACTATTTTTTTTCCAATGTAACAAAAATACTGCAACGAATTCTTTTTTGGGTGGATATGAAAATTGTTCACTTGCAACAATCTCTGCGAAAAGCCATGGGTTGTTTCTTCCGTGTTAACTCTTGCCAAGCTAAACCCAACAAAGTTGATAATCACATAGCCGAGGAAAGGAGTCCCTCTCCTCCAAAGAATGGAAGTTGGGGGTTCCGCAACACCTCAACTTCTCGAGAGAGGTGGAAGCGGAACTAGGATGAGGGGATCATGGCAGTTCTAAAGAAAGCACCGCTAAAGAAAGCTCCCCGCCGAAAGAAGAGTAGGTGGAGTGGTAGTCCGTCAAAAAACGTTCTTGAAGATATGCTGCAACCATCATGAAGGTGCACATGAAGCAGGCCAACCCAACACACATCAAAGCATAAGGGTACTATCTGCAACAATATCCGCCAACCATTTACCTCCCTCAAGGCCTTAACATATTTTCAGATACCCGTGGCTGCAAGTACAACGAAGATCTGATGAATGCAACCTCGAACCTCTCTAAAATCATGTACATGGTCTATAATCAAGTGAGGGCATGTGATGAGAAGAAAGTAAACCTGCAATGAATCAAGCCATCATCAACATACTTCACTGCCGTTGAATGATCAAGCCTAAAATTATGTTATTTGGCACCTCCCTATCTAGTAGCATCTCATAATTACTTTATGTACACTTGTTGTCTCTACCTAGTAGCATGTTAATTTTCTAAATTTAGTTGCAAAGCGTGCTATTACATGCCAAGAGCAATTATAGTTGTATTCGTTGGTGTGAAGCTTGGTAATAAAGCAATGAGTGCGCAGAGCTCCCTTTTGATTCCTATTATTTCATAGTCTAAGGTATGAACTCTCTTTATAGCTCTCTCTATGTTATGAGGTCATGACTGACAACATTGAAAGTTTTATAAATCAAGACTACTGAGGTGTTTAACTGAGCTATATGTGCCAACTTTATTGAATCATGAACCTTGATATGCTAGTAGAGAATGACACATGCAGATATATTATTTCCATATTTTTGGCAATTTGCAAACTATTTTGTGTTAGTAGAGCTGAGGATGGAAGACAACTAGATATCCATATGTCGGTGTCTTTTCCATTTATGGATCCTCTAGTATCCATCTATATTTGTTATAAATAGTTCCATGATGGATGAAACTGAGGAGGGGGGAGGAGGATCTCAAGAGTCCATGAGCTTTATTATATCTCAACCATCTATTGTTGGCTTCCAAGAGGGGACCCATGGAATGCTTTCTGGCTTTTATAATAATCAGGTTCCACGGGTGGAAGAAGATGGAGGCACAACCTATAAGAATGACCTCGAGGATCTCTCGAATCATAGGAGGCCGTGAAAGGGTGATGAATAGAGTTGCCAGAAGATTAATTGAACAAGTTGATGGAGGTTCCAAAATCATTGATGATAACTCTTTCACTACTATTCGCAAAAAAGAACTCTTTCTCTGTTCTTTCTAATGATGAAATTATGAGTAAAGCTTTAGAAAAGGGTGTAGGTTGTAATAATCTAGATTTAGATACTCTTAATCTTGTTACTGATCTGGAATATGCTAGATTTAACATTCATAGTCAGAGTAGTGTTGAGGAGGATAAGAATATTGGTCATGTCAAGTTTCTGAAATGGAAGGGGGTGTGAATAATATTGAAGATGACTTCATAGTGGTGGTGTCCAAATCTAATTGAAAAAGATAGAAAAAATGCAGAGTGAGAGGAAGAAAAACATATTCTTATGAAGAATGGTTGTGTGCAGACTAAAAGCATGTCAAAAAAAGGGGCCCTGATGGCAACTGTCCATCCTTTGCCTGGGGAGTTATCTCCTGTCGTGGTTAGAAAATAATAATAAATACAAATGATAAAGCCTCACATGGAATTGTAAGGGTTGTGGGAAGAAAGGTTTAGCTACAAGCCTGGTGGAGATTATGAAAGATAATGAGGTGAACTTTGTGGGCTTGCAGGACCAGTGGGAGGCGGAAACCCCCGTCAATTGAATCTACCACCAGAGAAAACTCGACAGGGTGTGGGACATAGGGTGGATGATCGACGCGCTGGAAGGTGATCATGACATCGGACCACTCCAGGAGGTCGGTCGGAGCGACCACAGATCGCCAGCTCCACAGTCATCCTTATTCCCATGATTGGGTCAGTTATGGGATAGATGGCATTGTGGGGTGCGGGAATCAGGGAGTCCGCAGTGTTACCATCATTACTGCTACAGTGATTGCTGAGGTGCACGCGGGATTTAGGGAGATCTGCTGCAGAATTAAAACTTGAATCCTAGCTGATGATGAGTCCAATTCATGTCATGATTTTGATAGTTATTTTGTGCTACATGGTAGGTTTTGTGGGATTTTATCGCCTTCACGCATCTCTTTTGTCGGTATTCCACAAGTAACACCTTTTGGAGTAAATAATACTTTATAAAGGAATCCAAGAAAATGGTGGCGAAATCACATATTTAATGTGATAATCAACTACCATAAAAGATTGAAGCAAAGGGATCGAAGAAGGAGTTTATGCGACGCCTCCAAAGCCAAAGACGGTGTTCCATACGAGTGCGCCCACTTGTATGGCCGGTCGTATGAGGTTACAGGGCCGTTACCTCGTCCACTAATTCCACCCCGTGAAATCATATCGGAGATCAGATGAACAGACACCAGAAACTCATCCAGAAGGCAGAACACTAGCCTCTGGAGATCATCCGAAGGAGGAATTGGCATGGAGGAGATCTCCATCTTGACCACCAAACACAAGGGGGCTACAACATTGTAACACCCCTAGTGTCATGCTACAGTGACCACATGCTAATGTGCCATGTCATCATAATCATCATCATTAATTGCATTAAGAAATAATTCAACTCTCAAACCCTAGTCAAGTTCAAAAAAATCAAATTTAATGTGAGAATTTAAATTCACACACATGGTGGGAAATTAGTTCATAATTTTGTAAATAGTCACTAAGTAATTGTCTTGGAGAAACCAATATTATTTGAAATATTAAATTGCCCCTAACCTATTTAAAACAGTGCCTAAACATCCTCATTTAAACCAATTGTATTTAAACAAAATGTAAATGAATTCAATCAATCCCCAAACTTTTTGTGGTAGTATTAAATAATGTCTAGTATTTGATTTGACAATTTACATATTTTAGAAAATTTATTTGATGGTCAAACAAATTGCAAACAGAAGCTAAAAGGCAAGGCCGAAATCGAAAAAAAAGAGGAGCACTCATAGTGGAGATGGGCTCTAGGTCAACACTGGAGGCCCAACCCACC